GAGAAGATGAGTTGTGAATCTAAAGAGACCCAGTGGCTAGAGTTCCCAGGACAGAGTGCCAGAGATGAAAGGGGGGCAAAGAGAGAGAATTCTGGAGATTTTCAGAGGGTCTCCCTCAAGTGTTCAGCTGAGTCGTGATCAATGCATGCACTGCAGTCCTGACTGTCACTTTCTATCAATCAACATGCCTCTTTTGAGCACTTACTGTGCACCAAACTCTGAGTAGGGATGTGGGAAATTGGAGCCAAGGCAGATCTTTTCCTGCCCTTGAGGGGCTCCTAGTCTAAAGGAGGAAAACCAGCACGTGCACCTGACTGGCACACACTGCCTGGAGAGTCTAAGCGGAGAGCCAGGTAGATGTTCAGAGGCAGATGTGGAGAGAAAAAAGCACTCACTGCTCTAACTGGCCTCTCCCTTCCCTGACCCCAGGCCTAGGCAGACGCAGGGGCACTGTGATACGGAGGAACAAACCTGTTCACCAGGGCCAGCTCTGCAGGGTGGGGCCCAATGAGGCCTGAGGTTGGTGACTCAAGGAAGCAAAGATTGCCCTTCCTGGGACAGGGCAGAGAGCCTAGGGCCAGGGAAGGGGAGCTGGTACTCGGCTCTGCCTCTGTATATTGTATGATCTTAGAGGTCCCTGTTCTTTCTCAGCCTCCATTTCCTCATCTGACCCCAGGGACGCTCTCTAAGCAACTTTTGCTCTGAAGGAGGTTGTTGCCAGCTGAGCTTCTGGGCCTTAGTTTCCTTTGTCTCTAAAGGGGATGATAATTCCCACCCATCCTTGGGAGAGCCTCCTGATTAAGAGATTGTTCTTTTCCTCTAGCCACTGCCCAGAGGGGGTAAAGAAGCACCAGGAGTTTGTGCAGAGGTGAGGGGACAGGCAATGGTTGACTGTCCAAGGCAACATTGGGTGAGGCAAGTGCTTTCTTCCAAACCAGCTTCTCACTTTTCTCTCTCCCCAACTCATCCAGAATTGTTAGTTCCCAGAATTTCTCACTCCTTGCCCAGTTCTATGGTTTCTCCAGGGATGACTTAGGAATGGAGAGTGCCACCATCTTCGCAGTCCAATGGCAACACCTCCCATTCTCACACCTGTCCTGCCAATCTTCAAACTTGACAGTGTACTCTGCTTCCGGTACAGACCCATCCTAGTGAGCCCTCAGAGAACAGTCTGGCCATGGCATCTATATGCAGATTTCATTTCCATACAACTCCTTGGAAGGAGAGTGGCTTCCTTCCCGGCACACCCTCCTATATCCTGAAGGCCTCCAGAGGGGCCTTGTCATCCCAGTTGGCAGACAGGAAAACAGACCAGCGAGGAAGAATCCGAGTGTTCATCCTTCCAGGAGAGAAAAGAAAGTCCTGGAGGGATTGGGTGTGTGGTGACAACTCTTGCTTTGTGTTTGAGGAGAACCCAGCAGTGTGAATTTCTGTCAGATAGGAGGCCTTCCCTGACATTCTTGATCCTCCCCAAACCAGCCATGCTGCCTCCTCCTCCCTCCCTCATCAACCGACTCTCTTCTCTTCCTAGGCACCGTGCAGAGTCTAGCCTTGGATGCATGGCTGCTCTGCTGCCCTGGGGCCCAGCTCCTGCTCAGAGACCCCTTCACTTCCTGCTCAGGACCCTTCCAGGAGACTGCCGCTGAGGCTAGGAAATAGCACTCCCTGCTGTCCTCCAAGGCCCAGAGGCATGCCCCTACCCTGTTGGGCCACCTCATGGCATCTTTGGCTGGCCTGAGTTCCCTACGTCTGGGCCCCACCCACCCCATCTCAAAAAGACACCCCTGGGAGGCTGAGCAGTGAGGGAAGGTTGAGGACTTGGGCAGAGCCCCCGACCCTCCCACTGCCCAGCCTGCTTTCCTGGCCTGTCTGCAATGCCCTCACCTCCTGCCCCAGTCCTTCCATCCAAAGGTCAAGACCCCTGAGCCCAGCCTCCTCCAGAGGCCCCAGCACATTCCAGCTAGCTCCTGCTCTGACTCTGCGGCATCATCAGCATGGGGCCAGGCCTCATAGTGCTGTCTCCTAGTTACTGTATGCCCAGAGGGAGGGTTCCACCCACACCTGATCACAAAGCTGGTCCTGCCTCCCCCAGGGATCCCTCTGCAGAGGGAGGCCACTCAGCAGGCAGACACATTTCAGACAAGGGGTCTCACCCAGGTAAGACTGATGGACCTCAGTCTTGCTCAGAGAGCAGCTAAAGGGGCTGGAGGCCCCCAAGAAACATTTCACATTTTCCCCATGGAGTCTGTACAGTGTACCCCATGAAGACCGCATCAAGTCAGCCTGAAGAGTGTGTCTGCTGATAGAATGAGTGTGTCTCTGGGTGTATGTGTGAACATGTCTGTTTGTGTGAGAGGAGCGTGTAGGGATGGGAGTGAAGTTAGCGACCACCCCTCTCCCCCCCAACACACATACACCTTAGACCTCTAAGGAGGTGAGGCGAGCAAGGGTTGAGTGCCACCTGGTGGCTCTGAGCTCCACTACAGGCCACCAAACCCTTCACCTCGTTCCTCTTTGCCCTTCCTCTTGCCCCTCTGCAACACACAGGCAAAACTGATCCCAGAACCTTCTCTGGGGCTCCAGCCTCACTTGCTCACCACCCCTCCCCCCGACTCAGTCCTGCAGAGACGGAGACAGAGACTCTGTCCTCCTGAATCTCCTTTCTCCATCCTAGAGAAAGAGCCATTGGAGGGGGGTCATAGAGGCGGGGCTCACATCTCAAGCTGGGCAGATTAGTTGACCTCCCTGAACCTCAAGCTGCTTGGCTACAGAATGAGATAATGGTATCTGCTCCACAGAATCATTGTAAGGTCTCATATAAACAAAACCATTAAGTTGCGGGGGCTGGGCAGCTACAGGAAGCTGAGATCTAGCGTTCTCAGACCCTCTGAGAGCCGGGGTGAGCCCGCACAGAGGCTCCTCCTCCCCCGGGTCTTCCCATCTATACTCCCACCCCTCCCCCACCGTTCTCCCCGCAGCTCCAGGTGCCCGCCCGGCTTCCCGGGGAGCTCACCTCCAGCCAGAGGCTCCACCCTACACCCAGGGCTGTTCTGGAGCCACAGGCACCCCCATTCAAGGCTGACTCCCGGTCCTCCCTCTGCCCTCACTCCATCCAATTGGTCACCAAGTTCTGCCAATCAAACATGTTTAGAATTCCTGCCTCCCTGGCCAGCCCAGGGCTCAGAGCGCTAGCTCTAGAATGATCCCCGCCCTACATCACCCAGCAGTCCTTTCTCTGCTTCCCAGCAGGATCTAAAATGCGTATCCAAGTCACTCCTCTACTGAAAACTTTCCCTGGCTCCCCACTACCCCCAAAGTAAAGCCAAACTTCCCCACCTAGCATTGAAGGCCCTCCCTGGTCTGGCCCTATCTTCCCTGTGTGCCAGGCATTCCCTTTCTCTGTGCCCGAGTATGAGCAGCACCTTCTACAGGGAGTGCCTGTCCCGTTTTGCCCACAGGAAAGAAATACCCGCTCATCTTCCAAACCTCACTGCGTTTCTTCTCAGCGTTATGATCCTGCCTGGAGCCCCATGGCCAAGAATCCCACAGGGCTGTCATGTCCTGTGACCATATCTCTCTGGCCAGGCTGTTAGACTTTCCAGACCAAGGACAAGGAATGTTAGTTCTGGGCCTCAGCACAGGGTCCTGCATGATCCAGGAAATATTTGTGAATTGTTCACTCATTTGGGCAGCAAGGAGGGATGTGTCACAGCATCACAGCATGGGCCTCCAATGGAATTAAATGTCCTCAAGGGAGGGTGGAGGTGGGGACAGACAACAGATGGTATGTGTGGGGGGGGGTGGGGGGAGTGAAGTTCCTGCAGCATGCACACAGGCTGTGCTTCCCCTTTGCCCAAAAGCTGGTAGAAGAGGGACACATACACACATTCAAGGTTGAAGGGGGTCACTGGCAGAGTCCTGCTGCTGGTGTCAGCTGCCCATCATTAGAATAGCCAACCTGTCAGCCCAGGGCCTATCAGGAGCTGCCCTGCCCCTGCCTGGGGGCCCACTGGTCAGCCTGGGACCTATGCTGTAGGAGAATGGGGACAGACTGGGGGAGCCCAAAGCAGGAACTGGGCAGGGGTGGGGACTGGACCCCAAGTTCCTAAGGGAAGGCAAGATGCCCTGAAACTGTTTAGCCTGGAAGGGCAGGTACCAAACCATGAAAAACAGGGAGGCTCTGTGGTCCCAAAGGCTGGCCCCCGGGGCACCACCGGTGGTCACAGGATGGCCCTAATCATCTCCTCCCAGCCCTCCTTTCCTCCTCCTCCTAGGAAAGGTAATCCCAGTGTTCAGCCCTTAATATATCAAGCTTTACTGATCTGGAAGTGATGAACAGGGAGAGGACGTGGGGCGAGGGGTAAAAGCAAGAGAGTGGGCACAGTCTAGAGATTTCACCTGTCAGGGCCTCCTTATGGTCCTCCTTATGGACAGAGAGGCTGGGATCTGCGTCTCTGTGCAGGGGCAAACATTCTCACAACCAGACAGGCAGGGATCTAGGTCCACAGACACAACTCAGGGTGCATCTGGTGTACAGACTCAGGGCTACTCCTTTGGCAGGACTTATGAGCACATGGATGGGGGAGGCCAGGAGGAGGTTCAGAGGCCTAGGCCCTGGCTGTACAGGCCCTCATAACCCATAGGCCAGCAGAGGATTGAGGAGGAGCTCTAGGCTGCCTCCTCCAGGCAGCCTCCTTGATTGCTTCAGCCCCTCAATTCTTTCCAGTCCACAATCTCTGCCAGCCAACATGTCTTCTCACTGCTTTATGCCCAGGCCTCCTCATCTGCCATCCACCTCTAAGCCCCTATAGTCTGGCAGAGGACTGATCCAGGAGTACCCTAACAGGTCTATGACCACCCTAGGAGAGGAGCTAGGCACAAGGGGTGGGGGCTCTGGTAGCCAAGAGTTCTAAACAGCATTTGCTGATGCCAATTCTGTTTCCCCATCTCCATGCACAGTATCTGTAAATAGCCCCACGGGAGAGGATTGGTAGAAAGAAATAGATTTATTCTCATGTACAAAGCGGTCAGCCCACAGGACCATATACAACAGTTGCACAGAATCCTAGAAAAACGCATCTCTCTAAAGGCAACTCAGAATAGGTAAGGCAGGTGGCCCCCCTCCCCCCACCCCACAACACAGAACAACACAGAGAAGGGAGAAGCCAGCGGCCGGGCTGACCCAAGAGGCCCGGCCCTATGGGGGTCTCCCAAGCCCCAGGGCACGGGTAGATATGGCCTTGAAGAAGATAGGAGCCCTGCTGCTAGGGCTGAGGCAGCCCTCTCTGGCTGCAGAAATGGGGAAGGGCTTGGGCTGAGAGGGGGGACACTCAGGGGGCCACTGTAGGACTTAGGGTTGGCTCTTTGCCCGAGGGTGGCAGGGACATTCCACGGCTTCTCCTGGGACTCCACAGAGCCATGGGGACTTTGATCTAAAAGGGGTCTTAGAAAATGGATTGTCTTACTCTCCTGTCTCACCCAAATAGGAAAGTCATTTGCCCAGGGTCACACAGCCAGGAGAAAGGATTATTGACTCAACTGGAGCCTGTCTTTAGCCTCGGTATCCTTCCTGCCCACCATTCCCATCTTGCTTTCTTCCTGAGCGTCCTCTGCCCAGAGCACTGAGGAGGGCCTCTGGCAGCTTCCATGTGGGGCCCCCACAGCTCTTCAGGTTCCAATGCCCCCATACATATAGTGGCAATCCTAAGGGCGTGCCTTCAGCCTTGTGGATAATGACTGTTTCTAGATCCACTCTCTGCTCACTCAGGTGTCCCACATTCTCCTTACAGGAGGACCCTGGAAGAGGGAGAGGGCCAGATCTGGTAGGGACAGGAATGGGGACCAGGAGAAACCACCCAGGCTGCCTCAGAGGAGGAGTGGCTGGGGAGGACTTGCCAAGACAAGGTCAGAGGCACAGATCAGGGCCCACTGCTCATCAGTCACCCCTGTGCTCTCAGCGGACAAATGACAAAGTCTTGGCGAGGCTGGAAGTCTTGCTTCCATTATACAGACAGAAAAGCTGAGGCCCGGGAAGGTCGGTACTTGCCCAGGGTTGCACGGTAAGTCCTGGATTAGAACCTAGGACCTGTGGCTCTGGGCCCAGGGCACTGGGCCAGGCCAGTGGAGGGCTGTAAGAGAAGGCCTGGGCAGGGAAGGGTCCCGGGCAGGGCTCATTCAGCGTCAAGGCTGCAACAGCCATTAACGGGGGCTCTGGTGCCATCTAGCTCAGGCACCTCGTACTCCTCATCCAGGAAGTCCAGCGAGTTGTTGCTCGGGAGGCCGCGGATGGTGAACTTGTGAGACACCTTGGTCCAGTGCTCACGGTTAGAGGCCACACGTTCATACAGCTCTGCCGCCTTGGGGAACAGGTCCTGGAGCAGCCTGGGGGTGCAAGGGCACAGGGACAGGGTCAGAAGTCGGGCTGTGAGTAGCAAGGAAGATTAGGGCTATACTATAGGTAGACAAGAGTGTGAGGCATAGGACTGGATGCTCAAGGAGAGCATGAAATGAAGGCCCCACTTAGGGGCCAGTGGGAGACAGCTGGGCCCAGAGGCAGCGGGGTGGGTCAGCTGGAGCCAGGCAGGCCAGCAGCCCCACAGCAGGTCCCTGGAGCTCTCTTACTTGTAGATGGGCATTGCGATGTGCTCCATAAAGCTGATCTGCAACTCGGGGATGTAGGCCTTCTCCCGGTCCATCATCTCCATCGGCCTGTTGCCCATGGCCTTCTCCTGCAGGCAGCAGGTTGTCAGGCCTGGACCCCTTCTCCCTCCATCAGGCACAAGGATGAAACTAACCCAGCCCTTCCAAGCCCCAGACCAGGAACCCTCCCTGCAACCTGGACACTCAAGATCATTCCCACATACCAAGTCTCCCTGGGAGAAGAACTCTTTGTAGATCAGCTCCTGAAAGACCAACACTCTTATCACACTCTGTGCGTGGGATCTGTCCCCCTGAGCTCCTCTACGGCTCATTCCCAAGATGGCAAACTGAGGCATCCTCAGCTCTGGCTCAGGCACAGTCTGGCAGGGGGATGGCCCCAGATGGGGAGGAGTGGTTGGGTTCTGGCCCACCTTCCGCCAGCCAGTGACTTGCTGTGTGACACCCAGTGAGTCCATGTCCTTCTCTGAATCTCCCCATCTGTTGCCCTGAGGTGGTCTAGGTTTCTGTCTCCCCAAAATTTAGTGAGGCTGAACTCAGCACAGAGAGGGTGTTTAGGCTGCAGGAGCCATAGAGAACTGGGCTTGGTGTGCAGCCTCCTTTCTCAGGGAGGAGCAGCACTTACTGCAATCTTCCTCGTTGTCTTCCAGCCCTTGGTCTGGTCAGAGAGGTCACAGGAGGTCATAAGGAGGCAGAGGAGGAGGCTATGGTGCTGCTTGTTGGTTCGGTCATAACCCACTGTTGGGGAGAGGGAGGGGTCAAGGACCCAGTCCCCTCTCTCTGAAGGCAAGGCCCCCAGGGCGACCCCACATGGTCCAGGAAATCCAGCACCCTGGATGGGAGCCAGAGGCTGGTGCTGAATCTGCCTGAGTCTGGTAGCTCAATGCTAGAGGGAGTGGGCCTAAACCCCTGGAGATGCTCTCCAAGCACATCACCCTCTTGCTGATCCTTCCCCAACCATGAGGCCTGAGGTTAAAAGTAGGTACCTTCAGCCATCTTCTGGAGGTCTTTGAAGATGCGGAGGTGATGGGCCAGGTCGGTGGCCAAAATGATGTCCCGCATCAGGTCCAGCATACGCTGATAGTCCTGGGCCAGGGTTGGGGGAGGTGTCAAGGCCTCCTGCCAGACACCCCCACCGGCTCCCTCAGCTCCTTCTCCTGCCTCAGGCCAGCTCTGGACTCCCACTCCCTCACCCCCACCCGTGACCCCATCACCTTCCGGGAGAAGTGGTCAAAGATGTTGCAACCGTGGGTGTTGAGGATGGCGATGGCCTGAGCGAAGTGGTGCCTCTGCAGGGGGAGAGGAATGATGGGGGCCCAGCTGGGGTGGGGGGGCTCTGTTCACTGCTGACCCCAAAAGAGGGAGCCAGCCTGCTACAGCCCCAGCCCCCAAGGTGAGCAGAACAGGAAGAAACAGGGAGTCAGGGGACCTAGTTTCCTTTCTGGGCTCTGTTTTGGCCCTCTGTGTGACCCTGGGCAAGCCCCTGCAGGCCCTGAGCCTCAGATCCCTCGGCTGTCACATGGAGGGATACAACGATGCAAGCTCTGAGAGCCTCTCAAACTAGAATGATTCTGAAATGATCCCTTGGAGTCCTAGACACTAATTCATGCAGGAAACATTTGTTTGCTGACAAAGAAAGGCAGTGATGAGGTAAGGGCAAGGCCCCTGTCTCCAGATGCTGACGGGCTGTCATTCAGAGGAGGAGCAGGCTTAGCCCAGGGCACAGAGGGCGGAGGCAGGGCTGCCATGCGGCCTCCTGGGAGAGAGTGAGCCCCTTGTCTACTGGGGGCATGCAAGCGGGGGCAGACCCCAGAGGGGTGTTATGGGGGGAGGCAGCGTGAGGCAAGGTGACCTTGCAAGTTTGGCTTCTACACTGTGCCAAACTCTGTGCCCAGTACAGGGAATCGAGAGATATCTCAGATTCTGCCCCTGTCCCAAGAAGCTCCCAGTTAAAAAACCTAAGGTAAAATTGGGTGTGATGGTGGAGCCATCCGAGACCTGGTGGGGTGAGGGTTGCTCAGGGCCTTCCCAGATATGCAAAGGGAGACCTGCTAAATATAAGTCCTCTTTGTGAAAACCTGGGCTCAGGCCAAACCTGCGGGCTGACTCATGCCCCCATCCACACCTGAACCCCTCCAAGCCCAGCCAGCAAAAAGAGCCAGACATGCCCTGTGGGGTGGGTGGCTACAGCCTTCAGGGCCTGTCTGGAGAGTAGGGCTTGGGAACAGGAGGAGCTGGATCACAGTCTAACTACATAAATCATCAGCCTTAAGAGGATGAGGGGTACAGGGATATTGGGTAGAATGGTGGTACCTCCATGACAGAGCCCTCGGAGCTGTAGAGTGCAGCCAGCACAGATTTCTGGAAAAGCCCGGGAAATCTCCATCACTCCTCACATCCACATGTAAGTGCCTGCTATATTAGGCCAGGCGTTGCCCTGTCCTCCCTGCCCCTCACCACCCTCTCATCTCAGAGCCCGTGCAAAGCCTTGGAGAGCCTCCTCCCACCTCTAAACCAGCTCCTGGTCTCACTAGCTCCCACCTCTCCTCAGGCTGGAGGGGTGAGACCCCCAGATGCCCTGAGGAGGGTGCCCACTGTGAGGGGGGCAGAGTCTCACCGAGGCCACCTGGAAGGAGTTGTTTGTGCCTCTGTGGTCCAGGTCATGACACATGCAGGAAATAAACAAGGCAAAGATCTCGATGTCCCTGGTTGGGAGGCAGGGGGGAGAAGGAGATCAGCCCCTTCCTGCATGTCCAGAGGAAGAATGGCTGCCTGAGAAGTCCAGGAGCCACCCGGAGCGAGCTCGGGACACCGGGTCCCCTTCCCAGAAAGCAGCCCTGGTTTGGAGTTTGACAGGTTCACTGTTCCAGTGGTATGTGACTGTGAGGAGGTCCCACCTGGAAAGCGGGGCTATGCAACCTTCCTTGCGAGACTATTAAGAGGATCCCAGGAGGTGGTGATGTCAAGTGCCTAGCACACCAGGGGTGCCTCCCTATCCCAAGGAAGCAGACTCTAGCAGCTGCCAGCCTGGGGGGAGGGTGGTCGGTCCCCCCACTCACTCGAGGTAGTTGGTGAGCTCCAGATTCTTATAGAGCAGGTAGCAGAAGTGGGAGACGGAAAAGGCGTGCATCCAGTTGTGGTAGGGGGGATCCCGGTAGCCCTTCTTCACCATCAAACAGAACCTGGGGGGAGGAGAGAGGGCAGCAGAGGGGCCTCAGGCTCTCTTCTTCCAGGAATCACTTCAGGCTCTGCCAGGGGGAAAGGGGGGGGGGGGGGGGGGGGGGGGGGGGGGGGGGGGGGGGGGGGGGGGGGGGGGGGGGGGGGTTATATACACATTTAAAAAATTGGGAAAAATGTGAAAATATAAATAAAGGAATATATAATATATAGGGGGGGGGGGTTATATTTGGGGGGGGGGGGGGGGTTTGGGGTTTTTTTTTTTTTGGTTTTTTTTTTTTTTTTTTTTTTTTTTTTTTTTTTTTGTTTTTTTTTTTTTTTGGTTTTTTTTTGGGGTGTTGTTTTTTTTTTTTTTTGTGTTTTTTTTTTGGGGGGGGGGGGAAGGGAAAGTAGATGGGAGGAGTAGGAAGAGAAAATGTGAGGAAAAGAAATATTAGGGAATAGAAGTGATGAATATTTTAAAAGGAAATGTAAGGATTGTGTTATGTGGTATTTGTGATTTGAAAGTTAAAAGATGGGTTTTAGGATATATAAGAATGTGAAGGGATTGAGAGGGGTTTTGGTGTTTGGAAATGGAAGGATGATGATATGTTTTGGGAAGGTTTATTTTGTTGGGATGTGTTATGAATTGTGATTTGGGAAATTTTAGGAATTTATGTTGATATTTTTTGGGGGTGAGGTTTAGTTGAGTTTTTAGTTTTAATTTTTTATTTAAGATTAAGTGTGATAATTTTATATGGTAAGGCCAAGCATTCTCAGAGCCATAAACTTTCAGAAATGGGATCTAAGAACTCTTGGAACGAAGCTCACATAATCTTTGAAAACCAGAGGGGGAGGTGCCAAGCCTGAGGCCACACGCCCTGGGCATTATTGGTTCTGGAGCAGCCCTTGTCAATCACCCAGTCCAGCCCTGAGTCCTGGACAGGCCCTGGGGCCCATGCTGGCAGACCACATGCCAACTCCATTTCTGGGGAGGCTCTCTAGCCTTTGGTGATGACTATCTCACCAGGAAGTTCCTAGCCACATCTAACTTAAGCCTGGCTGCACACCCTCTGCCTCTGCAGTCAAGTCGGGGAGGGCCAGCTCACCATGGAAGTGTCATCCTCGGGCAGAGAGCGAGGGGTATAGGTGAAACTGGCAAAGTTGGAGTCAATGGCAGCCACAGGCTGGATTCCATCATGGAGGAGTTTGGTATATTCATCATCAGAGACCTAGAGGGGACCAACCACTGTGTTAAAAGATGGCCTCCACCCCCCACCCAGCATCCTCACCCTCAAAGTCCCACAGCAGGAGGGGCGTTTCACGCCGGCATGCATCCCCCTCAGGACATCCACTCCATGGAGAATCACTGGGCAGGAGGTCACTGTTGTATAGCCCACCTACTGTGCCCTCTTGCCTGTAAGAACTCTCATCTGTAACAGCCTATCCTTAGCAAAGACAGAGAACACCCCTTCATGATACCCCCTGAACAATGCCAGCCTTTCACAGACACTAACTGGAGGTTTCCTTCTTTCAGGTAGAACGTCCCAGAATCTAACCTTAATCCTTCCGACTACAGCTTTGATCATAGCTATCCGCAAAGTCTGGGACCCTTTGATTTGGACACAGGTGAGAAGGAAATGACCACCACACACTCTGAACTAAAGCCCGAGGCAGTTCTTCTGAAACAGAGTCTGGGATTGAGATGGAATAGCAGCAGGTCACCAAGGACTGCAGGAGCACTGTACCTAGGGAAGCTGTGGGAAGTCACTGAGTGAGCTTCCTAGCCTTCAGTAATTCTCAAGATGGGAGTTATCCCTGGACATGGGGATCACCTGGCTGCACCAGGTACTTCCTTGAGGTGGGTCCTACTGCCAGCCTTGGGGCTGAACCAGAAACTGCTTGGAAGAGGCTGCCCTAAAGGAGAGCAGGAGAACAGGAGGCCAGGCATTGCTCTGGGTCTATCTTCTTATCTTCAAGAGAGGGCAATCAGAAAACCCAGGCTGGTCCCGGACCCCTGAGGAATGGGAAGGCAGGGAAGAAACAGGTGGGCTGCAGGGGACCCTGGGATCCTGAGGAGGGCTCCGTGCAGGCCTCACCTTCATGTGGTACATCATCATCTCGTTGGCCAGGTGGCTGCGATACTGGGCCTCATTCACTTTCTTGTAGAGGAGGGACTAGAGGAGAAAGGGAATGATAGGGCTCAAGTGAGATGGTTATGAAATCTCAGAATGGCCAAGACTGGGACAAGGGGTCAGATAGAAACCCTCCTTCCCATCCCATGCTAGCCCTAGTCTTTGCCTTCAAGCTCCAGCCCAGAGTAGCAAGCTCCCTCCCACTTTCACCCAGACCTCCCTCCCCTTGCTCTGCCTCCCCAGGTTCTGTTGGCATTTGACATGGCACTTTGTATCCCCTCCTGAGCCTGCCCCAGTCTTCAGTCATGGCAGGGAAGGAGAAGCAAGGAGGTGGGAGAGCCTCAGGAACCTAGTGATTGCATTCCCGAGTCAGAGCTGCCAACTCTGGACAATGAGACCCAACATTTTTCAAAAAGAAGCTGACTAGGGGCTTGGCTTGAGGTTGCGGTTGAGGTTGCTTTGGGAACGGGGTGGGCAATAATGGTGTTTTCCATGATCCTAGGAGGCTAACCGGAGAGGATAGTAAATGGTATCCCCAATTTTTGGATGGGAGACAGGCCAGAGATGACCAGCAGGTACTGTAGCCTGTACAGCGACCCAGGAACCGAGCTCCGAGTCATGGACCCGACCGAACAGTCAACGTGGAGAGGAGAACAAAGGGTCCTGTGCCGCCCGGCCCCTGTCCCCACTCACATGGGCTATGCTGATGCCACAGTAGATAGAGAAGGCGGTCGCCAGGTCCTCGTCGAACTTGCTGAACCATGGTCCGTTAATCTTGTTCACCAGCTCGGCCACACCAATGACCTCTGGGGACCGGAGAGGGGCTAGAACCGGCCGGGGGTGTGTCCGGCGGCGTCTGCCCTCCGGGCCAGGGTGAGCCAGGCCTTCCCAGGTGGGGAAGGGTCGCGGATCCTGCTCAGGCCCCGCCCCGCCCCGCCCCGCCCCCGCCGCGTTCGCCCCACTTCCCGGAGCCGCCCGAGCTCGCACCCTGGTTCTCGTTCTTGATGGGGAAGCAGAGGATGTTGCGCGTGCGGAAGCCGGTGCTGTCGTCCACGCCGCGGTAGAAAAGCGGGTGCGCGTACGCGTCCGGGATGTTCAGGATCTGGCCGGTAGTTGCCACGTGGCCCGCAATGCCCTGGTCAGCGGGGATGCGGATCTCGTAGCTCTGCAGGGAGGTGATGCGGTGGAGGAGTCGGCGACCGGCCACGGAGCCGACCAGCGACTGTCCCGCCCGCTCCCGCTCCGGGGCGCCCAGCACTGGGCCCGGCCCCGCACTCCCTGCGCGCGCCCGTGCTCACCTCGTCATCCACCACACCCCCGTCGAACACCTTGGCCACCAGCTCGTTCTGATCCAGCAGGAACACGGAGCAGCTGTGGGGAGACGGCCTTGGTCCACAGGGCCCTGACACCCCTCTCCGACCACCCCCACTTCTCACGACCCCAGATCTCTGAAGCCTGGAAGGAGTGCTCCGTTATACGACCCTCCTGAGAGCTGGCTGGCTCCAGGCATTAATTCATCCCAACGATTTGTTTTCCCTTGTAGTGCCTACTGTGTGCCAGGCACCGTCTTAGGAGCTGGGGACCTATGGCCAGGAAAGCCAGCCCCGTCTCTGCTGCCATTGGACGTTACCAGGGAGGGACACAGGCATGAAATAAAGGATCACACATAATAAGACAGGGCCCCACAGGAAGGCAGTGGAGAGGGGAAAAGAGAGAAAAAGGAACAAGGGGGCGGGGAGGAGGGCTGGGGCCTGTCTCGCCCCACCCTGAGGTAGATTCGCTTACATCTCAGCGTTGCTGAGGTTTCTGGCCTCTGTAATGATCTCCTGGAGCAGGACAGAGACATCGTCTGTGGGGGGGAGAAGCGTGGAGGGCTGTGGTGAGACCCGACTAGAGTGCCCAGCCAAGCCCTCTGACCTCTCCTCCCCAGAACGCTGGTCCCGTGCCCACCGCGCAGCCGGGCAGCCAGGCCTGGAGGAGGGCAGTTCACTCACCCAGGTGAGTGAAGAGGTTCTTTGCCACTTGGAGAAGAGCCTGGAATGGAGAAAATGAAGATCACAGGGATTCGCATTGCAGAGGTGTCACCCTCTCCAGTCCCCTGCCTCCAATGGCTCTGGGGGGCTTCTCATCTCTCCTCTAGGGCTCTCTGGTCAGGCTGGGGACCGCCAGAGTCTAATTATATCATTTGGCTACCAAGTGAAGGAGCGGGAAGTGCAGCCCCGCTGGGCAGTAATCGGAGTCTCTCCTTCACCCCCGGCTCTAACTGCCCAGATGTTGCTGTAGTTCCCAGGATGAACACTAGAGGGCGATCCCACACAGTGCCTGCCGCCAGCGGCGCCGGCCTGAGGAACCACCCACCTCCCTCTTTAAGAAGCCTCCAGGGCACTAGGGAGGGCTAGGTAACCTTGGTGCCATCAGTCCAGAAAAACAGGGGCTCTTCCCTTATGGATGACGCTCTGGGGCTGAGACCGGGCAACTCTGTCCCCTCCAAGAGAGGCTCCTAGTAGGTCACTCACCTGGCACTCACACTTGAGCTTTTGCTCTTTCTGGAAGGCCAGGGTGCTGGTGAGCACGGTGCTCGTGTAGTGGAAGCAGTGCTGGATCACTCGCTCATCCTGTTCCGTGAACCTAGGGCAGAGGGCAGGGGTCACTGGAGAGGGAGCAGACAGCAGACTTCTCTTGCTGTTTCTCTTTGCTTCCATTTCTCCAGGAAGCCCACTCAGAAAACGCAGCAGCTAACCATCACTCACTCCCCTCTACTGGGGCTGCTTGCTGCACAGGCAGCGTGAACCAGCTCCCCCCTCAGACAGGGGGGCTCCCTAAGGGGAAGGTTCTAATCCTCCTCAGACCAAAATTTCCTCCTCAAACTATTGCTCCTTGAAGCCAGGGCTACATCCCCTTCCACTGACTTCAGATTTATCCCAACTGAGGCTAAGTCTCCTCCCTCAGATTAGAGACTTCCCCGGGCCGGAGCTGGGTAGTCTCCTGCTCTTCCCCAGGGGCCACCAGCCTCAAGGAGCGGCAGTGGCACTACCCCATCTTGTCCAGCTCCTGTCACGGTCCTATCTTCACAACTCTGCAGGCCCTGATTTGGTGCCTCCATAAATCCTACTGTGGTTGTGAGGAGGAGCCCATCTTACTCACAGAGCTAGCTCTCATCTGTGAAGACAGCCCCCCCAATCCTGCTGAGGTCATGCAATCTGGCCACCAAATGACTTGTCACCAGGGAGTTTTGTGGGGGCGGGATGGACCAAGCTGCGGCAGGATCTGCACTGGGGACATGGGTTAGCCTCTCCGAGCAGGGGTCTTGGGAGTGAGGGGGAGGAGCCTGCCTCAGAGATCTTGACCTTCTCTCTGCCCCCAGATTTCCCTGCCCAGGCTTCTCCCCATTTTCTGGCTGGTCTCAGTGCTCTTCTGCTAGGACATCCCCCACTCCTACTGCTGCCCGATGCTTTGGGCCTAGATCCCTACACCCAGCACCCTGTGTCCACCTCCCCCACCTTCCCTAGCATTTGAGGCCCCTCAGTCTGGTCCCACTCACCTCTGTCCCCTCATCTATGGGTGTCTCTCGTACTCGGCCATACTGAGATCCTCATCACTCTAAGAAAACTTCAGGCTCTCTCACACTTTCACATTTCCCCCCACACTGTTCGCTCTGCCTAGAATACCTTTCCCACCCTCCTCCCTCTCGGCCCTGAAAATAAACTTCGTATCTTGCAGGCAGGGACCATGACTGTATCACCCAGTGCAGAGCTGGTGCCAGGGAGATATATGGGAGGTGTTTGCTAAATGTTTTAACTGTACTCTACTTCTTCCCTGGCCACCAGCCCCATCTCACTCCCAGCTCAAGGGACTCTGGAGTCCCTGTTCTCTGGGCTCCAGGCAGCTTGTCTGCATTCACTGCTCTGAGCTGAACCCCACCTTAGCTCACGTACTCATTCTGCACTCACTCCTGAAATATGTGGGACCCAGAGATGGCTACAAAGCTGCCACCAAGCCCTGTCTCATTTCCCTTCTGATGCCACCTCTCCTCTGGGTGTGGGGCCATCTCAGAGCCCAGTCCCCCAGCCAGCAGCCAAAAGTCACAGCCCCTGTGAAACTACTCCCCAGGAGCCTCCTGCACTCCCCTCCCCAAGGGTCTCTCCAAGACCACCTGACCAGTGCAGGGTTGAACACAGTAGGTGCCCAACATGTGCTTACTGAATGGTGTAAATGCTCCCACCACTAGGATTCCAAGCACAAATGACACTAATCCCACATCCAACCTGCCTCAGCGGGTTCTGCTTCACCTTGTCTTCATTTCCCCAGGCCTATCCACCTGCCTACAGAGCTCTGTGTGCTGGCAAGTCCTGCTACTCAGGCCTATGACTCCCAGATCTCTGCCCCACCCTCGTGATACTGTCCCTGGGCTTCTGACACCTCTGGAGTCCCAACATCCCCAGTCTTCACTTTCTGCAGGACCTCCAGGGCCTGAAGCCCAGTTCCCTTGCTTGAGCCCCAGGGGTCAAGCATTTTGTCAATATATCTCTGCATCCCAGAGTCAGGACTCCCCCCTCACCTGCCTGCTCTTCCCTACCTGTACAATTCAGGCACACACGGCTAGGCCAGCTGGACCAAGTGTGGCATCAGGGGTGAGCTGCACCCACGACAGACACAGTTCACCAGTCACAGCACTGCTTCTCACTAAACTCATTTCCATTCTCAACCCACTGTTTCAGGCAGCTACTACCACGTAATGAGTTGGAGTAGGACATGAAATCTATTTATAATACCACTTTGAGACCCCAGATCTGACCTTGGTTCTTGAGAAATGCTTCCTAAGCCTCTTTACCCAACTCTGTCGAGTCCCACCCCTCTGTGCCCGATGATTCTCAGAGCTGCCCTGTCAGTGTCTCTAAAGTCCTTCAGCTTAGCCAGCACCCGCCCCCCAGCCTCTTCTCTTTAGCCTCTCCACAGTGTCAATGATACTCTGTGGGTCCCAGAGAGTTCCCCATACCAGAGCTCACCACCCCTCCATCAGGCAGTTTCCAGCAGAAGTGCCAAACAGTGTGATGGCAAGTGGGGGAAAGGCCAGTATTCTAAGAGTAGATAATCCAAACTGGAGGAAGTGAGCAAAGAGAAGGGGAACTCATTTGGACCTCAACATGATTTTTAAATAAGCCAAAATCAGTGATGGAGAGTCACCAATTACCTGTGCCTCAGCCAGCAGTAGCTACAAGGGTCCAGCGCCTTCATAATCCCGTAGTCTCTTGCACCAGCAAATCATTTGGTCCACCACTGCCAGGATGGGATCCCCTGCCTGGTGCCCTTCCCTCACTGTTACCCTAGTCAATCCCTGCCCAGCCACTCAGCTCCATCTCCTGATCCACTTCACCCTAACAAGACTCACAAGTCTCCTCCAAGCTTGTTGAAGGCGCAGGCTAAGGCCACCACCTGGTCTGTAGCCCGGCTGATGACAGGGACGCAGAGCATGGCCTGCAGCTCACAGCCCAACATGTTCTGCAGCTGTTGCACATCCTCCTGCAAAAGGGGAGGTGTGTCGGGGCACTGAAGGAGGGAGGGAGTACGCTTCCTTCCTTCCCCCGGCACTCAACTACATTCTGCAGCAGACAGTTCTAAGGGACTCCTGTGGGATGTGAAGTACTACACATGGGGGTGGCTTGGGAGAAAGTCCCTGGGTCTTGTCTCTCCGATCTCCAGGTTGCCGTCTTCCAGACACCCTGTCCCTTTGCCTCCTCCCCCAGTCCAGCCAGGCCATGGCTTACAGAGGTGAGATCTTTCAGCTGGATAGACTTCTTATCTTCCACCACATGGCCCAGGCGTCCTGTGGTCAACTGGGGAGTGAGGAGAGGTTGAGTTAGGGCCTAGCTCCCTCCAAGGTCAGGCGACCTTGGACTCAACCCTCCCCTCCCAAGTCTGGAAGTTTCAACAACTTCTTCAGTAAGTCCAAACGGTGGATAGAGTCAGCAGACGGGGGCAGGGGTGGAAGGTGGGGTGGAGGGAAGGATTCTTGACCAGAATCCCCTTTCCATGACATTAGGCTCTTCCCTAATTAGAAGACAGAAAAGCAAACTCCAAGGATTCTCATTGATTTCAACAGATTCCAAGAGAGTCAAATCCAGAAATACTCCAACAGAAGTAAAGTGGTCGCAAAGAAGCCTTTCTATATTGTTTAGAGATCTCTCCTAATGGATTCTATTTATGAGAGGCTGTGATCTCTCATAACATTTCTAAATAGATTCCAAGATCCAGATAATTCCATCAAATTCCAAGAGATTCTAGCAGAGATCTCAGTCTCTCTGGGCAGATCCCTGGAGTGTGGAGCTGTCCCTAACTGCTCCCACAGACTCCAACACTGAGGATGGAGGCAGAACTCACCGGAAAGCTGGTTTCTTCCTCCAGCACTTTATCTCCGATGACCTGAGGGACAGAGTGGAGGGATGGTTAAAGGACGGGCAAGAATGTTCCCCTCGGAGAACCGGGTCTCCCCAGCTCCCTGTTCTGCCCCACAGTGGACCTGGGCCCTCACCTTACAGGAAAGCTGGAGATTGTCCTCGGACACCAGCAGGAGGCAGCATCGAGATGCCTGGGTCTCCTGCTGCAGCTGAGAGAGGCGGGGACGGAGAGGGGGCTCACCGGGGGCCTGGAGCCGCCCCCACTCCCCACGGTAGAAGAGAGGGCGGGGCGCCGGAATCTGAACCGAGAGGGGGGTTCACGGGGACCTGGGTCCCTGGAGGGACACGGCGGGGAGAAGCACGGGTACTCACGTATTGGAGGACTTTGAGCTGCAGGGAAGAGGCGTCCAGGTCGTAGAGTTCCCCTGGGGTGGCGAGACGCGGGTCAGAGAGAAGCTCCTAGGCTCCCCCCAGGACGCTCCACCTGCCGGCCCAGCCGGGGGACCCCCGTCCCCAACCCCGGGCACACGCCCCCGCAGAGGCCCCTCCCCTCCAGGTTAGACCCTGTCCCCCCTCCTCATCCCCGCCCCCCCGCAGCACGGGTCCTCACCGCACAGCTGCAGGATCTTCCGGTCCCGGTCGGTGTACGCCGCACCGCCCGCCGGGGGGTTCGGGACCGCCCCCGGGGCAGCGCCGGGCCCGCGCTGCTGCAGGGCCTGCACCCTTCGCAGGGCCACCAGGCTCTGGGGCAAGCCGAGCAGGCAGCCAGTCACTCGCCGCGCCCCGCGGGTACCGCGCCCGCCGCCCTCGGGGCCCCTCGCCTCCACGCAAACCCTTCCCTGGTCCTGCGGAGCCCCGCGCCCCCACCCGCCCGGTCCCGAACGATTCAGCCCTCGGCGCTCCACCCACCTGTGGGCTCCCACTGCCCCAGCAGCGTCCTTGGGCCCATGAACACTCTCACCCCCACCCCCAGGCTCTTACAAAACTGGGCAGGACCAGATTTCTCCGCGTCTCTAGCACTCACGGGAGTTATAAGTCCTTGTTAAAGTCACAAAATCATAAAATCTCAGGAAAGACCCTCCATGTCATTAGGTGCCTAGTCCTTCCTGAGTACTGACGGGATATTTGACTTGCCTTATCTCACCGGACCATAAGCTATGGGTCAGTGCTATCCTTATCCCCATTTTCAGACGTGAAACCAAGGCTCAGAGAGGTTAAGTGACTTGCTCAAGGTCACATAGCCCAAAGATGGTGCACTGGAACCCAGGTCTGTCCAGCTCCCTGGCCAGATCATCTTCCCACCAGCTGTGACAAGGGTCTTCAGCAGCCCCAGTTGCACCCCAGCCCTACCCCCACTCACATGCTTCTCAACTGCCTGCAGGCTCCACTCTTCACTGTCATTCAGCTGGCCACAGTGCACCTAAAGGAATATGAGAGGAGGACTGGCTGTGACCTCCCCAAGCCTCCTGTCCCTGCCACAGTGCCCTCCCCACGCCCAGCACACACCTGTCCCCACCAACACATACACACTCCAGTCTGCGGGCCTCAGTGATAAGCCTATCCTTCTGACCAAGCAGATGGCTCCAGGAAAACCCCTTTGTCCAGGAAGCCTTCTAGGGCTAATCCAAAGAAATAGAAGTTTTCTGATCTCTGCCTTTTCAGACACTGTCCCATCAATAGCACAGTCCAGGTGTCTAATGAGGGTAGGGTGGTGACCTTGGGCCCCTTTCCCTCTCCTAGCCCATGGAGCCTTTTAGGCCCTGATTATGGAATTGGTGGTATCAGCCTCAGCCTCCAGCTCCATCCTTTCGGAGTTGGGGTTTGAGCTGCCCCTGAGTCTGCAGTAAGAGAAGAGGTTCAACATTTACAATGCATCTGCTGTGCCTAAAGGACTTGGGAGGAAGGATGAGCGAATCAATGAACTGGAGTGGTAAAGTGCTTGCCCTACGTGTATGTGATTCTCACCAGCCCAGGAGGCAAGCTTCCACTCTGCACATGAACCAAGGCCCAGAGAGGTTGAACTGCCTTGCCCCTGGTCACATATCAGAAAGTGGCAGAGTCTGGGACAGGATCAACCATCCCCTCCCCTTTTCTGCCCATACCTTCCCCAAGCCAGATCCCCTCCCATCCCTCCCACTCCCCAACCTCCATCACCCTATCCCACTCCAATTTCCCTGTGCAATCATGAGGAACACCCTTAGCGCATCTTATATATGTTGTAAAAGCTCTTCTCCCAACACTGCTTGGGCACTTGGTAAGAAAAATGAGGGAGGGAGGGAAGAAGAGAGAGCCCTGCCAGGCTCCCCACCTGCGTCACCAGCTTCCTGTGCCTACTCAGGGTTTCTCACCACCTGCAGGGCTCCCCACAGTGCCTGCACTGGGGTCCCTCCTTCATCCTCCCTCCCCACTCAGCAGCCCCCGCCCGCCTCTGCTCTAGGTCCCCTGCCTGGAGCAGATGGAGAGGAGGAGCCCAGCGGGTTCTCAGAAAGCGCACAGTCTGGCTGGGGCGGAATGGAGTGGGGGATGCAATTGGTGGGGTGCAGAACCTCATACCTGAGGACGTGGGAGAGGGCAGACTGGGTGGGAACCTAAGGGTTGTGGGGGATCAGAGGGGGAAGGCATCTGTGAGGCTTCAAGAACTGGTGCTGAAGTATGGGGACGACACAGGGAGCCTGAAGAGAGGGTATGGCAGACAGGAGACTGTCCTGGCAGTGCGGCTAGTAGGTGGCATGGGGATATGAGAACCAGGGCAGGGGCAGGATTCTGCCACAGAGGGAAGAACCTTGAGAGCAAGGCTAAGGAACTGGACTTTAGCTTAATTGTACTGGGGATCCATGACAGACTTTAGCATCTGTAGACCAAAGATGGTGTCGAAGGTTAAGCTCTGGAAGAAGTGCCACCACCGATGACCCCCACGGGAAAGGATGTTGAAAGGCGGGGGGCATAGTTCATTTGTGTATGGCTTTCATAAACATGTTGGTATTTTACTGTTAGTAGGTGGAGGAGGTTATCCTTCTTGTTCCTTCCACCTGAACCCATCTCTCAGAAAAAGGGAAGATTCGGACCCCTCTGGGTCTGTGGGGACAATCAGTTGCTGGGTTGGCAATATAGTTTGGTGCCAATACAGAGCTGGGAGACTGAATGAGAGCTTCAGAAGGTTGGAGACAAAGAAATCCTTCTCCACCCACTGGACCCACCCCACCCCAGCACATGCTCCTGGGCTGCCTCAGCCCATTCCCACCCAGCATGTACACATTCTCCCGAAAAACCTCAGCACCCGCCCATACACTCACTTTCCCATGGAGATGCTCAGGCGTGTGTGCACACGCACATACAGAGTATAGTCCCAGACTCAAAGATATCCACACACCCACACAGCATATACACCATCCTTAGGTGCACATTCATACCTGTACACAGGATACCTGAGTTCACATACCCATGAGCCATGCACACACTTCTGCCCCGCCCCCCATATGCAAACATATAGTCCCCAGCACTCACACATGGCTTTATACTCACCAACAGGAACACCACTGCCACCTACTCTTGCTAATCAGGGAGTGTGTCTGGGGCCCAGTGGAAACACTCAGTAGTGGGCACTGGGGCTATAGAGAGAGTTGAAAGTCCAGCACAGCCCCACACCCCTCACCCTCACCAAGCCCAACATGGCTAATTGCAAGAACACCTCATCCTCATGTAAGGAGCTGGTGAGGCGGCACAGCCGGAGGGAAGAATGGGCACAAATCATGCATCAAATGCCAGAGACCAAGGGCCGCCCACTCCTGGGACTTATTATCCCAGAACTGAAGAACAGAGCTAAAGACTCTTTCCACACAAAGAATCTGCAATCAAGGCACCTGGAGCTGCAAGCCGCAGAGGCCCAGCACTCCGCCAGGCAGCCCTGCACCTGGCTGGCATATTCCGCCACTGCCCGCATCTATATCAGGCCCCACTATTCCTTTCAGGCTCCCCGTTTCTTTGCCAGCATTTGCTAACATTCGCAATCCTAGCCTTATTTTGCACTCTTGCTTGATGCCTGTCTCCCAACCCCTCCAGACTGTATGGACTGTGAAAGCGGGGCTCAGTCACTGCTGTTTGCAGCACCTAGCATACAATGCCTGGCGATGCTCAAGAAATATGTCTTCAGTTGATAGATGGGTGGGTGGATGGATGGACAGATGGAAGGATGGATAAATGGATACCAAGAGCAGAGACTCAGAGAAGGGAATGGGGTTGTTGAGGATGTAGCTGTGAGTCAGCCCTCCCAAAATATCTGCCCTGTGGCAGCCCCTTTACCCTTTGTACCCTCTGCCTCAGGATCTGGATGCAGCTAGGAGGTAGGGGGCCACCTGTGCTGCCTCTGAAAGGATGTGAGATCCCGCAGGACAGGATCTCTCAGATGCATATGCCTGCATCCGGGAAAGGGTGTCCTGGGGAAGTGCATTTCTACCAGGCTTGGAGGAGAGGCAGACTGTGAATAATTTAAGTACCTTTCGAGAATTCTTTCTTTAAAAAAGGAGCTATTCACTGCTCAGGGTCTTTGAGGAGGTGGGCAGATAGTTGTCAGGAACCTCTCCTGGCAACCAGAGCCCCAGATAGCATCTTGCTCAACAGCATGTATCCCATACCTCAGACTCACCGGGATCACTCTTCTTCCAACCACCCTTCTCCCCACCCTGCCTTGGCTCATGCTGTTTACTCCACCTAGAATATCCTTTCCCCTCTTCTCTGCCAGTGGACCTCCTACCTATGCTCCAAAGCCCCATCAAGTGCTACCTCCACTAGAGGCACCCCTTATGGCTCCAGCCTCTGCCACCAGAGCACCTGTTAGCAGCATTTATTTCATTTAGCCACTGGTAGTCTGAGGCTGTGCCTGCCTTCCCCCAGATGGAGCTTCTAGAAGGCAGTAATGAGTCTCACTTCTCTGGATGCCCAGAGCAGGGTTTTGCTAGGATGCACTAAGTTTAAGTAATGTGACTCACCTCCCCCCCAACAGCACACAAAACCTATACACCCAGGCCTTTCTCCCTCCCAGGAGAAGGCAGAAACCTGGGCTCCCCGCCCAATCTGAGCCCAGGTGAGCAGCAGTCATGGCAGCCATCCTCCTGCCGCAAGATGAACAAACTCCAAATGTCCCTTTTGCTGCAGTTGCTTGCCTTCTGGCCCAGCCCTCACTGTCCCTCCCAGACTCTGCTCCCTCAGCAGAGGTGGGCGCCCGAGGTACCACCGCCCACCGCCCACCTCCACCCACTGCCCCGGCCCTGGTCCTCTTCCAAGCCACCAGCTCTGGCCCAGATTGGGACCAAAAGAGGGAGGGAAGCCTCGCTGAGAGCTCTGTGCCAACAGCAGATCCGTCCCCTGCGGGAACAGAAGCTGGGGGTGGGGAGCAGCTTGCGGGAGAAACCAAGGGTGCGGGCGGCTCCCTCCGCGGGCAGATGGGGCGCCGGAGACCCAGCCCAGCACTCCTCCCCGCAGCCCCCCCACTCCCACTGCCCTCCCCCGCCAGCAGCTCCGGAAAGGTCAGGCGCCTCGGAAACCTTTCATTCTGGCTTAATGAGCTCGGGAGGAGTCCCACGGGCGCACGAGGACCCACTCTTCATCTGTCCGCGCCCCCCGGGCTGCTCCCCACCCAGGTGGTGGCGGCCTCGGTGAAGCCTACTCCCAGTAATGGCCATTTGGGGGCGCCAACCCTCGGTCCCGGGGACAGGACAGTGATTGTGAACGCTCACCCCCCAGCCCCGCCAGGCTCAGCCGAGCCCTGCCCCCGGAGCAGAAAGCCCGGGAGCTGCGCCAGGGGGCAGCAGAGGGCACGGGGGAGCCCCGGCCTGGGTTCCGGCCAGACGGCGCCCCTCCCAGGCAGCGCATCTCCCCTTCCCCTCCATCACCCCCTCCAGGAAGCTCTCTCCGCCCCGCCCCGCCTCTGGCGTGGGGCTGCAAGCTCTCTCAGGGAGCCCCTCCCGGAGCCCCCCTCCTGCCTCCGGAATCTGACTGGCCGTCCCACTCTCTGTCAGCAACCCCCCCCCCACCGCAATCCACCCTTCCTCGGTGTCTGTGTCTCTCGGGCCTTCTGTGGACACAGCCCCCTGCCTCTAACCCGGAGGGGAGGATGCCAAAGAGGGAGCAAGGGTTGCACTTCTAGCTCACAGGGGGCTGAGAGGTGCAAATGGGGCTTGTGCATGTCTCTGAATGTGGCTAACCTGGCCAACGACTTTGTCCTGACCACTCAAGGTAGGCCCGAGCGCTGGGGTGAGGGGAAGCCCAAACTCCTCCCAGGCCCCCATTTCCCCCGACTCCGGCCCAGCTTGCTGCTCTACACACACACACACACACACACACACACACACACACACACACACCAGACAGGCTCCATCCACTGCACTTGCTCTGTCTCCCCCAGCCCACCCCACACTGTTCTTACCAGGATGACGGCCGCCACAGCCCCAGCCTCCTTGTCCACCAGCGGCATGACCAGCACTGAGGGGGAGAGGGCAATGAGGTGGTCCTGCAGGGCCAGTGAGGCTCAGAGATACAGAGCCAAACCCCAGGGAGGGAGACAAAGACACAGACAAAGAGGCTGGGACAGAGACACAGAGAGACCCAGAGACCCAGAGAGACAGGGGGTCCTGAGGCAGCAACAGAACAACCACAGCAATGTCCCCTGCATGGAAGGAAGCCCCCTCACTTCACAATTCTCCTGTGACCACCACCCCCAGCGACCCTGAGAGGGCAGGAGGCAGGTAAGGCTGAGCACCCCTATTTTACAGATTGGGAAAGTGAGGTCCAGAAAGGGGAAGTGACTTGCCCAAGATCACACAGCAAGTCAGGTCTCCTGACTCCCAGTCTTGTGCACTTTCCACATCGAGACAGAGGACAGAGACCTAGAGAGGCTGAGACACGAGGCAGAGAGACATGGCGGACAGGGGGTGTGGAGAGGAAGAGAAAGAAAAACAGAGACAGTGACAGAGAGAGCATGACAACAACGCAGCCCATCTAGCAATAGACACAAGCACACGATCACTGTGGCCACTGGCCACTGAGCCCTCGTATGTGCCAGGCCCTTAACATGCATTATCTCATTTGCTCCTCCTCAAAACACCCCCTCAAGGTAGGTTCTCTCATCCCCATTTTACAGATCAGGAAACGGAGGCTCAGAGAGGTTAGTAGCACAAGAGGGAGAGAATTAGAGGATTTGCTGGAGACACAGGCAAGAGAAAGATGGAGACAGAGATGAAGACAGGGATAGAAGACAGACGTGATCTCGGGAGCAGGAGCACAGTCCCTCCCTGCCCCTGCCCACTTCCCAGTCCTTACCTTGGCTGTCAGGAGCCAGTGGAGCCACCAGCCTGGCCAAGGGCTTCCCCGGCAGATTTGAGGGGCCCAATCCATTGCAGCCCAGCCGCTTCCGGGAGACCACAGCCTCTCTGAAAAGAGGATGCCATCCCATCTCTCAGTCCCTGGATTAAAAAGGAGAAGACCCCAGCCTGGGGACACACAGCAGGCTGGACCCTGCACATCTGCAAGGATCTAGACAATTTAACCTGCTGTAGGGTAGACACAAATAAAAGAGATGGGAACCCTGACCTGACCGCGTAGCATCTGGCTCCTGGTACCTCTTGCTGGTGGGTGTGGGCCTAGTGCAGGTCCCCCAGAGCAAATAAAGCAAGGACTCAGAGCTAGGCTGCCTACATTAAATCCTGCTGTGGCTACTACTTGACCTTGGGCAAGTGACCTACCTCTCTAAGCCTCCCAGGAAGACAGAGTGTGGAGGAGAGTAGAATACTAACCATCTCCATCCTCAGAAGGCCATTCTATACACCTGAAACTAGTGTAATGCTGCATATCAACTATACTTCAATTAAAAGAAAAGAGAAAAAGAAAACATTCTAGAGCAACCTGCAGTGCTAAGCACAGGAGGACTCCAGAGATAGCTGTCCTAACTTGAGTTTATCCTTCACTCCCTATGTGCCATGCACAGTCCAAGCAACTCCTATAGATTAACTCAGAATTCCTGACAATCCTATGAATTCAATATTATCATCATTTTCCATTTGCAGGTGGAGAAACTAAGGCACTGAGAGGTTAAGAACCTATCCAAGGTCCCATGGCTAATAAGTGGTGGAGTCAGGATTTGAACCCAGGCAGTCTGCACCAGAGTCCATACTCTTTTTTTTTTTATGACAGAGAGAGAGAGAGAGAGAGAGAGAGAGAGAGAGAGAGAGAGAGAGAGAGAGAGAGAGAGAGAAGCAGAGGGACAAGCAGGCTCCAAGCAGGGAGCCTGACGTGGGACTGGATCCCGGGTGTCCAGGATCACACCCCAGGCTGAAGGTGGCGCTAAACCGCTGACCAGGGCTGCCCAGAGTCCATACTCTTAACTAGTGTGCTAGAATCTTTCTAAAGACCTGAGGGGGCGTGAGCTTCCAACAGGATTAGTGTGAATGGGGGTAGGTGTGATGAAGGGGGCAGGGAGGAGAGATGGTGTAGGAAGAACGACTTTCTATCTGCCCTCACCACACATACCACCCTTCCCCTGGCCTCTAGCTCTTCCTGCTTAATTAAGTGCCTGATTTTTCACCAACTGTCACTCCCTGATGATTAATTGTCCTGGGTTCCTCATCCCTCATGTTGCCTCCACTTAATTGTGTTTATAGGAACTGCCTGGCCTGAAAAGAAGAGAAGCCTGGGGAGCATATGGGGTCACTCAGGGGAGCCAAGCAAAAGCCAGTTGAGGAAAAAGAGAGGGGGCGGCCTACAAGTCTCCTGATCAGGTCACAGCTTCTAGAGAAATTGAGGACAAAGAGGTTGAGCATCTTGGTAGAGATTGTGCAGTATTCTGAACTGGATCCACTCCCTCCCGGTCTCTTGGTCTAGAATCTACAAGAACCAATGGTGCCTCCTACCCTCTAACCCTCGCACTCTGGACCATTAGGCTCCTAGAGTGCTAGGCTCCCGTTCTGCGCTGTCCAACTATGCCAATTCCTTCCTCATCCCAGGAAGGAATAGGAATCTAGGGTGGCAGGAGGGCAGTGCAGCCATGTTTCCTGATGACTAAACTGCTAAAGACTGGGGCTTCCTGGGGGCAGGTGCCTTCCTTGGTGACCCCCAGGCAAACCCCCTCTTGCTGAACCCATGCAGCCACTTGGCTTCCTGCAGTCTGGTTTTTGGGTGACCACAAGGTGGCGCTGGTTCCTATGTTGCTGGTCAGTGAACCTGCCGCTTCAACCCACTGACCCCTGACTCCCCCATTCCTACCATCCCAACCCCCTGCCCTGACCAGAGCTGCCTTGGCCTCATCCCCTTTCTCCTGGGGAACCCGATAAAGGAGTCTGCCCTCAGTCTTTTTTCTTTTCTGCACAAAACTTCTTCCTCTGGGCTCACAGCCCCATGACTCCCCAGCCCCCACTCTCATGAACTCCTGACCCCAGATAGGACCCCAGATACCCCAAGGCCTCCTGGAAGCCTGCCCTAGATGTCCGTGACGTTGTCAAAGGCACCCAGTCCCAATCTGAACTTGTTCTCTCCCCCACAGAAAGTGGCACAACCACCCATCAGGTCCCTTGTAGCTTGTCCACAAACTGTCCTTAACTACCTCCTCTTCCTCACCTCCCCCATTCAATGGGTGAAACACCTCCCATGCATCTCTCATAACTGTCCTGCATGGAATTAGTGTCAGAGAAAGCTTCCTGGAGGAGGCGATGCTGGAGTTGGGTCCTAAAGAACATGCAGAGGTTATCGAGGCTGAGGAGAAGGGATGTGCAAGCAGGGGGACTACATGTGTAGAGGCTCAGAGGAGAGAAAGACCGTGTGTCTGCTGGATTTCCCTACTGCAAGGAGGTTAGTGTGGCTGGATCGCAGGGAGCAAGGCTGCAGAGGGCCTGGGGAGCTGGGCGTGATCCTGAGGGCACTGGGAGCCCCAGAACAGACTTGCATAGGGGGAGGTAAGGGGCAGGTTTGCTCTCAGGTTAATCTGTTTAGCTGCTGGGTAAAACTCTCATTAGACAGGGAGGATCTGAGAGACTGGAAACGTCCTGGCAGTGAGAGCCTGTGGTCTCAGGGGTCCCAGGACAGCAGCAGACGAAAGGCTGGGCTGGGGCAGGTCAGCCTTGACACTGCCCAGATCATTCATGGAGCCCCTTGGACTAAACCCTCTGGAGTCCCTGCACCTTGGCACCTTGCTCTGTAATCTGCCCTACCTGGCCAGGCCACATCCCGCAGTCCCAGGCTGGTCTATGCTGGGCCATGCTCATCCCAGCCCATGCCCATGCTCCCTTTCCTCGGCTGCACCCTTTCCAGAACTGTAGCCCCTCTGGGGGTTTTTAAGACAGCCACAGACTGGAAGGGCAAGGGAAGGGAAGTGCCCAGGCTGAATCTCCCCAACTGAGATGGGGGTGGGGGCTGTGTCTATACTCCCACTCCAATGGTTTCTGACTCAACTTAGGACCTTGTGCCCTGCCACATCTTCCCTCCTGACTCCTCTATCCTCCTGTCCCAGCTGCCAGGCCGATGGTGGAGGGTGAGGGGACTCCACGCCCAGGGGCCAGCTGTCCAGGCTGAAAGCTAATGACTCAGCCCCAGTGCCTGGGTGGTCATGGCTGCCCCAGTGACGATAAAGACAGATGGGCACAGAGTGGGGAGAGGAACGGGCGTGGACTTTATGACAGTTCCGTCCCTTTAACAATTATTTGTTTAGTGGCAAGAGTAGAGAAAAAGGCTTTCTGTAGGTAGGGTCAATGGCCTGGAAAGAGCTGAGTGCCCAGGCCCCCTTCCAATCCTCTGAGCCCCTTCTCTGGTGAGGCCCCATCCCTCTTACAGAGCACCCCACCCCCCACCTCCAGGGGCCTCAACCTGGCTCTGACTTTTCATCTCTCTTGGAGACAAATTATGATCTGGGCCAAGACCTGGACCCTCCTGTCCCCTGTCCTCTCCCAGAATGTGAGACTCCAGGGATGGGAAGAGACTATTCCCTGTGTCCCCTGAGACAAATCAGAGGGACCCACAGATTCTGCAGTGAAAGAGGACCCGGTCAGCTCTGAGGAAGACATGTCTCAAGGTGGGGCACCAGGACCCCCAAATGGTAGCAGAGGGAGACAAGCAGCTGGGCTGGTGTGGGTGATGGTGTCCCTTTGGCAGCTGAAAGGCCCCAGACTTCACGCTACACCCAGCAGCAGATAGTGAGAGGCTTCAAGATGGCAGGAGACACACTAAGAGGAGGCAGGCGGGCAAGCTGGGGACTGAAATAGGCTGGGGGATTGAGGAGGCACCAAGATGAGGGAGCTGACTTCCAGGAAGGTCCTACCACAGACAGCCTTCCACCTTCCAGGAGGCTCTTCCCTCTGGGCCCTGGAATTCAGAGCTGGCCCAACCCTCACCCAGGGCAGTGTCCCATCTTACTGACTCTCAGGAACAGATGGAGGCCCAGAGTGGACCCTTGGCCTGGTGGTCACAGCCACTCCTTCCTGGATCCCAGGTCCCCCAACTCCCAGCCCATTGTTCTTCTTGTGGAAAGACCCAACCCAGAGGGAGGCCACTGCGGCCCAGACACCTTTTCTGGAAACTGGATCCTTCTCAGTGCTGGGGGAGTGATACGGCAGGCTTCCTAGAGCACTTCCAGCTGGGCCTGGGTCATGTGAGATAAGGGAAATGTGGCTGGATGAGTGAGATGGAGCCACACAGGGGAGGACTCTGCTCAAGAGAAGAGGTGTGACCAGCATGAGGGGGTAGGGAACCCAAAACACAGTGTGGAAATGAACCTGGGCCCCTGTGAGCCACAGAGGGGACGGGGTGGTGGCAGGAGGGGCCTCCCCATCCCCCTTGGACTATCTCCCCTGCCACTGTCACACCACACCGAGCACATCCTCTGCCCCTTCTTCCTGGGCCTTATCTGTCTTTATGACCCACCTCTATTCACACCTGCTGCTGTTTCCCAGCCCTGACGGCCCTCCAGGGTTTCCTGGAGCAGTGCCCCCTCCACTGGGCACAGCCAGAGGCTGGAGCTGCACCTCAGCCTGAGGCAGCTGCCCAGTCTCCTGCTGGGTCCCAAATCACAGGGGTCACCATTGGAAAGACCCTGCACCCAGCACCCTCACTTTATAGAAAAAGATGGGAGTCAGAAGGGAAGGAGTTTTCTCAAGGTCACCCCAATGAGGACATTGGGACCTGGGGGTGGAGGGTGACCAGCAACCACTGAGCTCCGACTTGTGCCAGGTCCTGGGCATCTGTCATCTCATTACATCAAAAGACAGGGCCTACTGTTATCTCTGTTCTAGAGAGAAGAAAACAGATTTGGAAGCGGATACAGGGAGGCAGGGATGGGCTAGACTCCAGGCCTATCTGACTCCCATTCCAGTGCTCTTCCCTCTTCCACATACCTAGCTAGGTCTTAGCCCTGGCCTTGGAGGTAGACTCAGCACCAGACACGGGCAGAGGGGGCAGTGATGGAGCACAGATTTCAGAAGAGAGGACTGGCCTAAACCTTCACCCTTAATCCTTGCTGGCTGAATAAACTGTGATCTCTGTGTCCCCTGGGACGTGCGTGCATCCCCTTTTGCCCCTTGTCAGGCTCTTCTACGACTCCTGGGGTTTCTGAACCCTGTCTCCCAGCACATACCTCTTCATCTCCACTGAACTCTGGGCTAGTTGTACTGGAACACTCACTTTTAATTGCCTTTTTTAATTTATTTTATTTTTATTTTTTTAAATAAATTTTATTTATTTATTCATGAGAGACACACACACAGAGAGAGAGAGAGAGAGGCAGAGACACAGGCAGAGGGAGAAACAGGTTCCATGCAGGGAGCCCGACATGGGACTCGATCCCAGGTCTCCAGGATCATGCTGCCCTGGGCTGAAGGTGGCGCTAAACCACTGAGCCACCAGCGCTGCCCCCACCCCCCCTTTTTTTAACCCTGTATCTTTTCCAAAAGCTTTACTAGGTCTGGAGTGGGGAGGGGACATTGGGGAATACTGAGAGTGCAGGAGATCTGAGACCTCTCCAAGATGCCTGGACCACAGACACCCCCCGCCCACCCCATCTCACAGCAGAAAGCCTCAGGGGAGCATTTGCCGGTTCAGAAGGAACAGAGCAAACCCTGCAGGGTGCTCCCCTCCTGCCTTCTGAGCTTATGGCCCTGCATCCCTCTCCCAGGAACGCCTCCCCAGTCCACTTGAAGGAAACTTCCTGGATGGAGCAAGCTCCTAGGAAGCAAAGTTCTTAGGAGTAGGGGTGCTGGCTCTGAGGAGAAAAGTGGATATGATAGCATTATAGCATTCTTTTTCCTCAAGATTCCAAAGACCTGTCAGCCCTATCCTGCCATCTCACAGATGGGGCAGTAGAAGCCAGAGAGTGGCATGGCTAGCTTGGTTCACACAGTCCTTGAGGGAAGGAGTCATCAGGAGATGCTGAATGGGACAGTATCACCTACCACCCATCCCATAGGGGGACCAAATGGGAAAGCAAGAGGTGGGAAGGCTCTGGGTTGTTGGAGAGGCACCACCCCCTCCCATGAGGAAGGGCTAGAGAGAGATCAGCATCTAGGAATCCAGAACTCCAAGTGCCAGGAGGGGCCTCAAGACCCCTGGCATCCCCAGCACCAGGACCTCGGGCATCCCCAAACAGCAATTTTTTCCCATGGCCTCTAGGAAAAGAGAGTGCCTTACTGGCCTCAGCTACTACCTCAAAAAGCCATTATCTCTGAACCACTTGGCCTGTTGGAAAAGCCCTCGCCTGGGGGGTGGAGTGCTGCCTTCTAGTAACCCCCACTGATGTCCACTCTGCCCTCAGCTCCTGACCTAGCGCTCCCCAGGCCCATGATGGCCCTGCAGTGCTTCGAAGGCAGTGACCATGTCCTCTGTGACCTGACCTCCTCTGGACCAGCACTCCTGCCTGCCAACACTTTCTCATCTGACAAGTTCCACTTCCCCTGACTGTCCCCTAAATGGCCAGGAACCAGAAGACTGTGTCCCAGGCCTGGCTCTGTCTTACACCAGGTATGAGGCCTTGGACATGTCTCAGGATGGAAGATAAGGAGGCTGACTTCAATAGGCTAGGAGGTATCAGGGGACCACAGAGCAGCGAGCCAGGTGTGCCTACCATCAGGGATTCCAACATTCTATCCTGCCAAAAACAAAACCAGACACTTAGCATTTCTAATGGATGTGGTTTTAAGTGCTGGTGTTAAACATTTAATCCTCGCAACAACCCTGTGAGATGAGTACTGTCATTATCGCCATTTACAAACAGGATACCTGGGGCCCAGAGAGGAGGAGCACCTTGCCCTAGATTATACAGGTAGTAAAAGGGAACTGGGACTTGAACCCAGGCAGTGGGGCTCAGAACCCACAGCAGGACACTGTCTCTGATCCCCCTGTGCTCAGACACAGGGTTGACACCACGTGCTCTTGCAGGTCTAACATTCTGTGATTCTGTGAGAACCTCCCAGGTGGTTCTCATAGCCTGCTGGGGTTCTAATGATAAACTGTAGCCCTGCCCTTCTGAGACTGGGCTCTGAGGAGACTGTGGCACTTTAGAAGAGCTCTCTATGTTTCTAGAAGAACACCTACCAGTTGGCACTTCCCCTGTGCTGCCCACTGCCCCAACACAGCACAAGAAAAGACATTGCTTCTTCCCTCTATGGGGAGTCAGTGACCCAGCCAAGGACCCCCAGCTGGCAGGGAAGCAGAGGGTAACTGGATGGGGAGAGTCAGACTGGATGGCTTTGGAAAGTCCCCTCCACCCCCCACTCTCCACCCCCGACCCAGGCCTGAGATACTTGATTGTATGAGAGACAATGGGATACAGAATGGCTCACCGGACTTTTCCTTCCTGGGGCAGCTCATGGGGGGGGTCCTCACACACCAGCCGGGACTCCCCATCCAGTAGGTAGGTGTAGACCGTCTCCTAGGACAGAAGGCACTGGTGAGATCCTGCGAAGAGCCCTCCTAACTGCCCTGTCCCAGCCGAGAGAGGGATCTGGGTGATAAGGTCACAGACCCTGTGGCCGTGGGCTCAAGTAACTGTTTTTACTCCCCAGGGAATTCTAACGGGCAGCCAGCATGGAAACACTCCTTTATGAACTCACACTTTACCCCTCCTCTTGGAGGGGCTCTGGGCAGGCAGTGACCCATGACCCTGCTGGCTTTCCTTGTCTATCACCCCAAGTCCAAAGTGCCAGGGAGAGAATCTAAAAGGCTGAAAGTGTAGACAAATCCCATCCACCACCCGCCCCAAGGTATTTCCCTGCTGTGCCTCCAGCCTCAGCAAACTATAACAGTGGTCCATCCAAGGCTGTATGGCAGGAGGGGGCTCAGAATGCCCTGGAGGCTTCCCTCCTACCTCAGAGACACAAACAATTCTACAAGAAACTGCACACTGTGACTCAAGCCAGAAGGACTTCCTGGAGGAAGTGACCTTAAAGCTGTAATGCAGTGAAAATTAGACACATTTGGGGAATGAGGGGAGGCATAGAAGAATGGCTTCTGGGCCTCGGCTGAGTAGCAGATAAGTGTAAAGAGCACAGAGCATTTATGGAACTGACAGTAGGGCCAGGGGGCACAGGACGTGGCCCTGGGGTCAGCAGGGCCCATAAACATAGCTGAGGGGAGGCTGCTGTGAGTGCTGAGAGGTAGGAGCAGGTGCATATTCTGGAATGATCACTCCCTAAAGTGAGATCGAAGCTCTATTCAAAGTTGTCAAGTCTTCAGCTTGCCAATGTGCCCTCCTCAAGGGCCCAGAGCCGTCTTGACACTTGGCCTTGGTTCTGGGGCACATCATGGCAGAAGCGGTTGCCCTCGCCGACCCCCCCCCCACCCCATGAGTAAAAAGCCACATTCCTTCCAAGCAGGACTGGCTACCCCGAGGGATCCATAGTCAACTCCCATCACCCCATCAGCACAGCCTCAGCGAGTGCCCCACCGCACCGCATGCTGGGTGCAGAGGGAGATACTGAAGCCAGTGCTGCCCAGCAGAGACCATGCCCTAGTTGGGGGCACCCACATGCCCAGCTAAGTATCCTGAGGGGCACTGTTTTCTTGGGGGCTGGTGTGTGTGGGCTCTCCTCTCTCCTGATGCTATCAGGGAGAGCTTCTGGAAGAGATGACACTGGAGCTGGGTGTCGAAGACCCACTGCAGTAAGTTTGGCAGTTAAGTGTGGAATCCAGTCGAAGCAATTACTCTTTGGCCACTGTGAGAGCCCACAATCCTGCCAGCCACTCTTGTTATCTTTGGCTGTCCCTACCCTCCCAAGTCCCAGGAGTTGTTCCAGTCCCACTTCCAGAGAACTGCAGCCAACTCACTGGTGGTGTGGGCTGGGGAGGATAGGGCCTGAGAGGAGTGAGAGGGGCAGGCACAGGCCAGGCCTGGAGGTCTCCTCATCTCTGCCCTACCTCCTTCTGGTCCTCCAGTCTTTGCAGCAGCCTGGGAGGGGCTGGAGGCATCTAGCCCAAAGATGTTAGAAGGACCCCCCCACACACACTCCCCAGCACCCAGAGTCACACGGAGAGCCTGGCCCTGGCAGAGAGAGAGAAGTGGCTACACAGGGGGTGGGGAAGCAGGGAGGACAGATCCTCATCACTTCCGGATGTCCCTCTGCCTCCCACCCCCTCACTCTCAGCCCTGTGGGTTAAAATTAGCTGAGTTTATTGGAGAGAAGGAGGGAACCATCGCAGACACATCAGCACCATCTGCATTCAGGGCTGCCTGCCACAATGGGTGCTGATGAGGGAGCCAGGTGCTGGCTCTCCTCACAGAGGGGGAGTATGGAGACCCCTCCCCCACTGCCCCACCCTCCCGTCTTCCCGGGGGCAGAGCAGCCGCCTCCATCTCCCTCCCTTCTCTGGGGGCAGAGCAGATCCCCCGTCTTCCCTCCTTTCTCTAGGAGGCAGACTGGAACCCTCTCAGTTCCCCTCCAACTCCCTGCGAGCAGAGCAGACACCTCCAGTTCCCCCCACCCCCATTCCCTGGGGGCAGAGCAGAACCGCCTATCCCCCCTCCCTTCTCTGGGGGGAAGAGCAGATCTCCCATCTCCCCCAACTCCCTGTGGTCAGTTGAGACCTCTCATCTACCCACCCCTCACAAAGGGCAGATCACACTTCCATGTCTCTATCCCTCTTGAGGAGGTGTGGGGGAAGTGGGTGGGGGGAGGGACCCCTTCAGGGGAAGGGTTGTGCCGAGGCCCTCCACCCAATTAAACCACAGCTCCCCAAAGACAGGGCTCCCTTAGCTTGTACAGGTCTCTTGGATGAGCTAAGGGAGACCTGTCCCACTGTTCCTGGACCCTAATTGCCTGGACCACAGCTGTCTTCCAAGCCCCCAGCTCTGGGGGTACAATTAATCTGGTTCAGGGTATCTGTACTGGCAGAGCCACCAGGTACCCTGCCTATGAAGACCTAACTAGTCACCTCCTCCTGACCCCTCCCAGGGCAGCCTCAATGGCCACAGAGGGCCCAAGGCAGCCTTGTAGCTGCTGACCTGCTAACCATCCCCCCACCCCTTCCTTTCCAGATGTTTCTCCATCCCAGGCCAGATGTTGCCTCAGTCCTCGCCTTCTCTGGGAGAATTTATTTTTGGGCGCCAACACACCACCCACTTCCTACCAATTTCACACTCAATAAAGCTCACTCATTAGCCCTCCTCCTGGGCTCTGAACTTCTAGAAGGTTTGAGAAGGCAGAGCTGAGGAGAGAGAATGGGGTTTAGGTGCCAAGCCCTATTTGTCCCTGTCATGCTGTGTGACCTTGGGTGAGGCACCCTCCCTCTCTGGGCCTCTGGAGGTTCATTTATCAAGCAGATTCAGATACAGTGGGCTTGCAGGGGTGGGGGTGGGGCATGAGGGGTGTCACATTTTGGCAGAGGCTGCCCTTGACTGCTATCTAGAGTAGGGAAGAGAAGATTCCAGGCTATGGTGACCCACATCAGGCATCTCCGCCTCCAGGAAGTCTTCTGTGCTCCTTCAGCTGGTTCAGATTTCCCCCACTAGTCTGACTGCTGGGACAGGGCAGCTTCGGGTCTCAGGGCCAGTTTGCTCATCCTACTGCCTAAGGGGTGAGCAGTGGCCAACAGAGCCAGGCTGAGGAATGGCCTGGGCAGCTCAAAAGAGGCACAGTCCCTTCACCAAGGCACTCTGGGCCCAGACAACCAAGGAGGCCAGGCTACCATGGGCCCAAACAGCTACCCTCCACCTGCCCCCAATCTCCAATCATCCACGATGTTGGGATAGGTGAGAGAGGAGCCTAAAGGTTTCTAGAGGTCATCTTGTCCAGCCTCCCATCTCCAGGCAGGATACTTCAACTTCACAGAGACTCATTCAATAAAGCTGTGCCTCACTCCAAGCACTGCTGGACTTGGCATCAAGAAAGTTCTTCTGCATGTCTACCCTCAACCTCTTCTGCTACATATCCCAAAGCCCACCTGACTCCACTATGTTCTAACTATTATCCTAGGGGAATCCTTTCCATTATCTGAGACACGATCTTTCCAATTAAGCTCTAAGTTCCCTTCTGTCTTTGACAGTTCAGAATTCCTATGTAAGTTCATTCTTTGGGACTCAGCTCCCGCCCTTCTCCTCCAGGACACCCTCTCGGAACACTCACCCAAACCCTTCACTTCCCTAGGAGAGTCCTCTGGGCAGAGACCCTGCCTCCTCCTTCCTTCTCGACTATATGGAAGATACAGCAAGGAGCTGGGCAAAGATTTGGGGGGTGAGGGGATTGCGGGGCCAGGCACTTACCACTTTGGGGAGCACGGCCGAGAGGGCCTCCTTGACAGCCCGCCGGAAGCCTGCAATGTGGATGACAGCACCCAGGCTCAACAAAGCATCCTGGAAGGAAGAGAGGAAAGAGCAGTGAGGGCCTTCTTCAGGCAGACCAGGGCAGCCCCATCTGCCCATGCAGCTAGGAGCATAAACTCTCCCTGTAAACCAGAGCCCAGGGCTCTCAGACACTTGGATCCCAAGTTCTTAAAATCTCAGAACCCAAGAAGTCTTAAGGCCCTAGTATCTCCAAGTCCACTCATCTTACAGATGGACCAAAGGGGGCTCAGAGAAGGGCCAGAGACTCTGCAAAGTGCTCACAGTAGGTCAAGAGGTCAAGTGTAGTCTCGCCCCCATCCGCAAGGACAACTCTGGCGTAGTAGGGAGAGCACCACCTTCCATATTAAAACAAAGCAAAATAAGCAAACCCAAAAACCCCAAATTTGAATCCTCGGTTGGGAGTAGCGAGAGCCCAAGGGGTACATGAGCTCACAAGGTGGGAGAGACACAGTTGGGCCAGCCTCTGGCAAGATAAAGGAGGAAGGAGAAGTCAGCCTTGACTGCCTCAGAGCCTTCGCATCCCAGGAACAGGCCTTGTCCTTGGACAGCCGGAACAGAGACAAAAAAAGTCCATGTTTCTTGCTCTTTTAACTTGGCTGAGCCACAGGGATCAAAAAGAAAGGTAATGGAACAGGGGACCCAGGGCCAAAGCAGGCTCATGACTCATACTGTCCACTCAGCCATGCCCTCCCCGCTAGCCCTTGAAGTTCTCTTCTGTGGATGGCTGGGTCTGTGTTCAAAAAGCAAAATGATCAACCACAGGAGGAAGGAGATATGGCTTGGCCCCTATTTATGTGAAAATATTATGAGGTTGAGGGTCTTAGTGAACCACAAGCTCAGCATGAGCCCATAGTGTATGTGTGGCTGGAAATAAATTAAAATGCTGAAGCTGCAGGCCATATTAATAAAGATCTGTTAGCCCAAATAGGGAAGATGGCAGTTCCCCCCACTCTGTAGGCTGATTAGATCATCCCCAGTGCATTGTGTCCCAAGTAAGGACAAGATGAGACTCAGTCACAGGTGATCCATGTAAGGAAGGATCTAGAAACAAGCACTGCGTGTGACTGAGACTGGAGAACCTGGGGGGTGCCTAGCTTACAGCAGAACAGACCCATGGGCTTCCATCTTTAACTCCAATCTCTCAGGCTCTCCTGAGCAGCAGGACAGGACTCTGTGGCCCCAGGGACAGCCTGGAGACCCGGAGCTTTTAAGGAGGCTCGCCTTGGCCCAGTGGGACGCAGGCAGAAGCCACCAGAAGAGAGGGAGGAGGTGAGCTGCTTATCCCTAAGGGTGGGCAAGAATAGACTCAGTGGCCGTTTTTCAGAGAGGCCACAGAGAGGATTCTGGGGCTGGGCTCCAGGAGAAGCCTGGGGCCCAGGCGTCAGCTACAGCTTTCAGCCATGTGTCTTCATGGCTGCGGTCTTCCCCCTCATCCCCTCAGCCACGGAGTCCTGTGTTCCCAGGAGTGGGCGGCAGCCATGGACTTTCTCCCCAAATGCTCACTTGGCATTGGTCTCCCCACACCCAGCCTCCCTCTAATCCTTCCCACTGCTCAAGGATGAAGATGCGTTTTTGCCACGGAGACAGGTCTCTGCCCTCGGACATCAGAAGCTGCTGATTCCAAACATTATAACCTCCCCAATTGGATCAGTTATCCTTTAACCCTAAGGCACGCCTCATCACAGGTCACACACCCTCAGCATGCCACCTATGCTGGGCCACACGGCCACGGAGTCACCTCTCCACAGAAGCACCCAGCATGCCTTCAGACACCCTCTAGGCATGCGCACAGGTTCTCACAGGTGCACCCATGTCCTTCTGGACTCACAGGGCCAGGGCTCAGCAATATGTCCGGAATCAGTGGGTGCCTGTCTGGCCTTTATTCAGATCAGTCAGCTTTCTGTGACTTTTCAGACTAAGGGCAGGACAAAGGTGGTGACAGGGGGACAGCTGCACAGAGGGTATACATGTAGGCTACCGTGCCCTTTGGAGGTCAATTCTGTACTAAAAGAGGGGAGAAAGAGCTCATGTCCCAAATAATCCCCAAATTAAGTCCGCCAACCTGTACTCCTAGGGCTGAGGCTCCCAGGTCAGGGCCTCAGAGGGTGGTGCTAGTTTAGGCCTGTTCTGCCTGGAGGTAGGTCAGGGTGGGGTGTCGGGGGGCAGGCGGTAGACAGGCTGAGCCCCGGGGTTCTTGGCCTCTGGTGGAGTGTGATGTGTGTATGCTGTGGAAGTTGGAGAAGAGAGGCCCAGGTGATGGGCTGAGCTCTGCTACGGGGAGAGGGGGGAGAGGCTTAGGACAGCTAAGTCTCCTCACTTGACAGATGAGGAGACCGAGATTCAAAGAAAAGCAATGTCCCATTTATGGTCAGCCAGCGAGTCGGGCAGAGCCAGTTGGCAGCCCAGATCTCTGCATCTCCAGCCCCAGTCTGGCTCCAGCTCTGCATCAGGCCCCCAGCTGCCCCTGCAAAGGTGGCTTAGAGAGGATGGTCTGTCTTTTGTTCCAATTGGTGGGCCCCTCTGTTCCTCTACCTGCCCTTTACTTGGATTGGGGGATGTCCTGACCTGTCCTTTACTGGAATTGGTGGGTGCCTGTCTGGCCTTTGTTCAGATTGGTCAGCTTTCTGTGGCTTTTCAGACTAAGGGCAGGAAGAAGGTGGGGACAGGAGACGAAAGGGGCAGTGGCTGAAAGGGGCTTCCCCGGCCTTGGCCAGAGTGAGCTGCAAGCAGGTATGGCCAGTGAAGCTCGAGGCTCTCTGCCTGGCATTGTTCTGTCTATCCCCAACCTGGCCCGGCCCTGCCCTGCCTGCCCCAAGAATGGGGGTGCGGGGTGCAGGAACTGCAGCTGGGAGGACCACTCTCACACCTGGCTCTCCAAGGGGCCTCCAAGCCTTGCTCAAATGCCACCTCCTCCCTGAATCTTCCCCAGATCTCCAAGCAACTTCACCCCTGCTGCATCAACTCAAGGCAGGAAATGGCTCCAATCCCAAAGCCCATGGTGTGGGGGCTCAGTGAGCAGAGGGGCTGCCTCTGGGAAGGGAGGAGAGAATCGACGGGAGTGGCTAATGCGCATCCTCTGTCCAACGTACACACATACGTGCAGACAAAAACACAACCGTACGTACTACGTGCACACACAGATACATACTTAGGCATGAGTGTACACACACACACACACACACACACACATACACACAGTCCAGGCTCAGAGTGGGGTGAAGGAGGTCACATTTCCTGCCCTCTCAGGGTTGTGTTTTTTTTTTTTTTGGAACAAACATCAGTGTAAATATCAGCCTAACAACCAGGCAATTTTCCAGACCCCGTGGGAGAATGTGTGGTGTGTAGAAAAGAGCAGCAGCGATTTCCAGGCCTGTCCCAGACTGACTATAGAAGCTCGGTGACCCCAGCAGGCCTCTGCCCTCCTGTGGGTCTCAGTTTCCTCATTCATAAAAATGGGTCCTTCCAGCTCTGCAACAGATAGTTCTACAGTTCTGTGGTTTAACTCACTGAAGCTGGCTGGCTGGCTGGAGACTTCCTGCTTTCGCTGGCTCCCTACCTGCAGCTCTGTGGTTGGGGAGAGGGCCAGTCGGCACCAGGCACCAGGCACCAGGGACCAGCACGGTAGCAGCTGTGCTCTCCTGGCACAAGCCTTTCACTCCAGGTACCAAGAAAGGTACCCCCTGTTAGGAGTCAGGGCTCCTCTAGAGCCAGTGCTGTGGCTGGATCAGCATGTCTGCACTTGTTTGGGGAGGGGCAGGGTCTAGACTACATTACTTCTAACTCCTTCTCAATACCTAGGACTATATGAAGCCGGAGACATCGGCCTTAGTTCTCCTGGTGCTACCTGTGCAGGGATGGATGCCCATCTTGAGGGTCAGGGTCACTGTCACAGCAGCTCTCCTGTCTTGTCTTCATGAGTCTCTATGGCTTTTCCCAGCTCTTAAACTCTCCTATTGCTCTCCCCACTCCCTGGAGCCTAGAACCCACCTCTCTCTTTCGGGAAAGAAGCCTCACGGTGGCCCCCTTGGTAGCCTAGAAGAAGATAATAACATCAGATCCATTGGTCAAGTCCCCCCAAGATTCAAGCTGCATTACTGGGACTGGCCATACAGAGTTATCCAACTTTGCTCGTGCTAGCTCTCCTGTGGGCTAGGGCAGCGGGGTGGGGGAGGAGGTGTCTCTCTGTGGGACTTGGTGTCCCTTCTCTAAAGCATGAGCATCCTTCAAGATCTCTAGGGTCTTGGAGCCCCTCTCTGCCTCTATTCCTTCCCCCGCCCCTTCCTTCCAGGCTGTGTCTCTGTCAGCCCCGTCTCTCCCAATCTTTCCTAGTGGATCTCTCTTCTTGCCACGCCTCCCTTAGTTGACCCCAATCTCTGTCACAGACAGGCTACTCTCCTGTCACGGCTCCATAAGTCTCAACATCTTTACCCACCCCACATCCCCTCTCCTCTCAGATGGCTTCTCTCCCATCTTTCTCCTGCACATTCCAGCCCCCACCCACTCCTATCTCTCCTGTCCACACCTCCCCCAAACCTCCAGGCAGTCCCCTTGAGATCTTGGGGAGAAAGCATCTGACCCAAGATGGGTACTCACAGAATGGGGGAGCCCAAGAGGACAGCCATGATGGGAGAAATTGGGGGTGCCAGGGCAGATGCCATTTACACTCCTCTGCTTCCTGCCCTCTGCTTTGGTAATCAATACACACAATCTCTTATCTTTCTGAAGAATGGGGGCCCTTCTAGGGCCAATGAGAACTTATACCTCTCTGTGCCCAGCACTAACAAGCTGAGCTGCTGTGTCAGGGTGACCAACAAAACTCCCCTAAAGGAAGTCTCCTAGGGGCTCAGAGCATGGAAGCCCCTTTGTCTGGGCCTTAGACTCTGGCCTGAGCTCCAACACCCCAACCTTCCTCTGTGGCTCCTCACAGCCCTTGTGCATGGCCAGCCCTGCAGAGTCAAGAGATGGCGAGGAAGCACAAGAGGCAGTCCCTCCCCCCTCTCCCACTCCCA